CTGCCAGGACAAGGAAGATGTAAGGTACCAATAAGCCATGAGCCATGTGGCAAAGTATAGATTAATAGAAATGGGCTAAATATAAGAGTAAGAGCTAGATAATGATAGGCCTGAGCCAATGGCCAAGCAGTTTAAATAATGTAAGTCTGTGTGTTTATTTTATAAGTGGGCTCCAGGACTGGCAGGACTTGGCAGCAGCTGGAGAGAAATTCTCCAGCTACACTGATCCATGTGAATTTCGACACCTTAAAAACCAGCACAGCTTCACCAACTCTGATAGCAACTGACTGTGGGGTGAGTTTCCAAAAAGTACTGTGTCTCTTCACTCAGGCTTTCTCATTCTATCCATTTTATCTATTTTCTTTATACACATTTAAGAGCTAAAGTTATATATACACAGTAAGAAAAAGTACAAAAGAACACTTCTATTGCTGTGAAGAGATACCATGGCCAAGGCAACGCTTATAAAAGAAAACACTTAATTGGGGGCTGGCTTACCGTTTCAGAGGCTCAGTCCATTGCCATCATGGCAGGGAGCATGACAGCACAGCAGGCAGACATGGGGCTGGAGATGTAGCTGAGAGCCACATCCTGATCCTGTGGGCAGAGAGGGAGACACTGGGCTTGCTATGGGCTTTTGAAACATCAAAGTTCACCTCATTGACACACTTTCTCCAACAAGGCTGTACCTCAGAATCCTTTCAAATAGTGCCACTCCCTGGTGACTAAACATTCAAATATATGAGCTTATGGTGGCCATTCTCATTCTAACCACCACAAATATAAAAAGGAAAATGAAGTTTCTTTATTGTTATCCCAAGAGTCCCTGCTGTCTTTTTTAGGGGCAATGACAAACTTTTCTACACCATCTTCAAAACCTTTGCCTATAACCTGCAAGGTGCCAAATCCAAGAACGGCTTTACATTCTTACACATCTGTGCCTGAGTTTTCTGATTTGCATATCTTGGAGGATCCCTGTGTCATAATATGTGGCTTACTCATTCTTTCTTACAGCTGCAGAGAGGGAATCTGTGGGAGCCATTTATTGAATTGCATAGATGTGTGCACATCTATAATTGAGCCATATGTGAAATATTTATACATAAAGTGTATGAACAATCTGCCCATATCTGTAAACGAATACAGACTACTTATTATCCATAAGTCATCCCATTAAATCAAGAGCGGGAAAACTTCAGTCCAAGGGCCAAATTCAGCTTGTTTTTCTGAATTCAGCTTCACTGGAACCCAGAGACCATTGGTTTGTGGAGCAGCAGAGTGAGGAGATGGGGTTGGAACCTGCATGCAGAAATGAGGCCATTTGCTGTTGGACCCCAGTAGCAAGTGCTGCCTCCTCCTCTCCTTCCTGCTCCTCCTTCCTCCCTCCTCTTCCTGTCCTTGGTCCCTCCTTCTCCTGTCTGCCTGATCTCTTCATGCTCCTCCTCTCTATTTCTCCTCACCCTCCCACATCTTCCTTCTTCATGGTACTTACAGAGAGCGAACCCAGGGTCTCATGTCTACTAGGCAAGCACTCTACCACCAAGCTAGACGTTTTATTGAAAAGCTTTCCCATTGAGCAATTTGAAATGCATTTAACTGCTTTACTCTCAACAAACCCTTATTCTTTATGTCAGTGATTACCACAAATTATTTTATGTTATTAAAGCTGCTTTACAATATAAAAATATTTTCTGCAAAATTAAGGTTTTTGTGTTCAGAGAAAAATATTTAACTATTGTAACTAGAGTTTTCCTGCCTGGCCCACAGTCAGGACAAATCTTTGTCACCCACCAGTCCCACAGCCACTCAGACCCAACCAAGGAAACACAGAGACTTATATTGCTTACAAACTGTATGGCCATGGCAGGCTTCTTGCTAACTGTTCTTATAGCTTAAATTAATCCATTTCCATAAATCTATACCTTGCCACGTGGCTCATGGCTTACCGGCATCTTCACATGCTGCTTGTCCTGGCGGCGGCTGGCAGTGACTCCTTCCACCTTCCTGTTCCCTCAATTCTCCTCTCTGTTAGTCCCACCTATACTTCCTGCCTAGCCACTGGCCAATCAGTGTTTTATTTATTGACCAATCAGAGTAATTTGACATACAGACCATCCCACAGCAAACTATCTCTTCAGTTCCATTTCCTCTGCCCTTCTCTGATTCCCTCTGTTGTGGTCATTTGAAAGAAAATGGCCCGCATAGGGAGTGGCACTATTAGGAGGAGTGTCTTGTTGGAGTAGGTGTGGCCTTGTTAGGGGGTCAGTGTGGGGGTGGGATTTGAGATCTCCTTTGCTCAAGTTACACTAAGTGGAGTACACAGTTGCTTCTCTTACCTGTAGATCAAGATGTAGAACCCTCAACTCCTTCTCCAGTACTGTGTCTGCCTCCATGCCACCTGCTATGACAATAATGGACTAAACCTCTAAAACTATGAGCCAGCCCAATTAAATATTTTCCTTTATAAGAGTTGCCGTGGTCATGGCACAGCAATAGAACCCTGCTAAGACAACTGTCTTTCTTAGAAATGGCTTCTGTTAGAAGGTTGTTACTGTGTGTGTGTAACACACACACACACACACACACACACACACACACACACTCTAGAAATGCAGACGTATATATGTTTATGTATTTTTCATTAGTCATTTGCATAGTCACTTATTTTTATGAGAATTAAAAAGTCAATTTAAGTTATTTTATTTATTGTTATGGGGTGTGGGAAGGGCATGTACATACCACTGTGGCTGTGTAGACAATCATTGAGTCATTCTCTTCTTCTAGCTTTACCTGGGTTCCTGGGAGTCTAGCTCATCTCATCAGGCCTGTACAGCAGGCATCATTACCCATTTACCCGAATTGCCAGTTCTGAAGTCTACATTAGAAGATGCTACTGCAAGGCACAGTCATCAAGTTCTGTGAGGTGGACATTGATTAGTCTCTCCAGGGTGGAGGGATAAACACTTTGTCTTCCACTCAGTCTGCATATGGGAAATAAGAGTCAGGATGCTTGCATGAAAATGTGATTGACATCTAGGTTCTGTGGAGCCTGTGGCATTCCAACCTGGGGTAAGAGGATGGCGTTCAACATCAGATCTTCCAATTTTCAGAGCAACCACCTTTTATCTTTAGCAGAGCTCTGTGATTTAGGCTTAACCTCTCCTTCATTTTGCACCAATCCAGTAAGTATTGCCTCTGTGTAGTTTTCATGTTCTCTTGGGTATGATTTTGAAGAATGTCTTTGAAGCAGGCTGGGAATGTGGCTCACTTGGTCAAGTGCTTGCCTAGTATGCACAAAGCTCTGGGTTTGATCTCTAGCAAGATCAGAAGTTCAAAGTCATTATTGACCATGAGCTTGAGGCCATCCTGGGCTACATGAAGCCTCATCTCAAAGACAAACAAATATCTTTGAAGTAGTTCCTGTGCTATCATTTGTGAATGCTAATCCCCCCCCCCCTGGTTTGGAGTGGCTACACATTTACGTGAGATAAGGTCTGCCACATACAGAGTTCAGCATACAGAGTTCAGAGTTCAACGTCCAGCATGTGGTCAGATCTCAGGGAACCACTGGTCTCTTATTACATATGCATTTGCATGTGCCCCTCACTGTTTGGGAATAGCTTCACCCTTTATAATTTCTCTACTTGTATTTGTCAAAGCTGTCAGGTGTACATGGACAAATACTGGTCTCGCTTTCCCCAGAATAAAACAGCACCCAACTCTTGCACTTTCAACCTCTCTTTTGAAGGTTTAGCTTTAATTTTATGTGTATGGATGTTTTGCCCGCATGTATGTCTGTGCAGCACCTGTGCACAGTGTCTTCAGAGTCCAGAGAAGGTAGCAAAGCCCCCGGAACTGGAGTTACAGATGGCTGGTAGCCACCATGAAGGTGCTGGAAATCGAACCTGAGTTTTTTGGTACAGTAGCTGAGCCATTGCTGGCTGAGCCATTGCCGGCCCTAGGGTCCAACTTCTTTAAAAAAAGGTCCATGACCAAGAATGGTAAGCCAGTGTCCCAAGGTGTTCTGCCTTTGGGGGATATAGAAGATGACATTGATTGAGAAATCACTTATCTAAGTGGCAAATAAAAATATCTCCACCAATTGTAGGCCAGCCAGTTATTAGATAAAACAACAAGCCAATGAACACAACACAGGCTTTTAAGTAGCCCACCGCCCCATATTGTTGGGAATGGGGAAGGCAGGAATTGGGAGTCGACGACTTCTTCTTCTTCTTCTTCTTCTTCTTCTTCTTCTTCTTCTTCTTCTTCTTCTTCTTCTTCTTCTTCTTCTTCTTCTTCTGTTTTTGGCATTTTTATTCTCTAGGTGAACTCCTCGTAGTGAGGTGGCGTGCCTATGGGAGAGGGAACCATCTGGGGGAACCTATACTCATGGTGACAATCACAGCATTGGCTAATAATCAGCTCCACGTCACATCCCTTTGAGGCCAAGGTCTTTGAAATGCATATTTTCCTCCAGATTGGCAATTGTGTGTGTCATCCCTGGTGAGATGCCAACAGCCAGGCTACTCCTGCTGGTGCTTGGGGAGAGAAAACCTTAAGGGGAGCTCAGAGTGGGAGGAAACACTTCAGGGTCTAGGAGAAATAAAATGTACTCCACCTCCCTGGATGCTACAGAAGTGCCTGAGGCACCTCTTAGCAGTTGTGAGTCCTTTGGAGAGACCCCAGAATGGCTAGAGGAGCAAAGCGGTTTCCTTTCCACAAAGGCTTCCCACAGAGCTAGGTGGCCTCGACTTGAATTCCAATTGTGCATGGGTTCCTTGCCTGGCTCCTGAAGCGCCTAGCGGATCTTCTGATGTGTGTGCATTTTCCCAGCTTGGATGTTTTGCTGGCAAATTGCGCTGTTGGCTGTGGGCACAGTGCCGGCTTCAGCAGAGCTGGCAGGGAGCAGGGCAATGTGCTCAGTACCCACAGAGCCCAAAGTCGCTTGAAAGAGACAATGGCGATCTGTAGACACAGTTGGCGGGAAGACAAAAGGGGCCTCAGGCTTCCTTCTTGGCCACATTGGTTAAGTTCATGAAGCTGATTGTCTCAGCAAACATTTCATCCACTTCGGGCTTAAAGATGAAAATGGCTTTCTAAACCATGAAGAAAAAAGGTGATAAAAACATGAATTATGAGGAAGGGAGGAAGAAAAGGGAGGTGTATGCATTTGGACTGTCAACAGCCTATTGACAGCCGCAGAAATCCTCATGGTTTGATCCAGGAGCACTGCAGCTTCTGCTTGAGCAGCATAGTGCTGGCAGGCAGAGCTTTTGTAAGGTTGCCCCCAGCTGTCAATCAAACCAGCAAGGTTCTCAGCAAGTTTGCCTGGAACTTCTCTCTTCTCACAAACATGGGATTGTAACTAGGTATGGTGGCTCACACATGTCATCCCCTCAAGTGGGAGGCAGAGACAGGAGGATCGCTCTATGTTTAAGGCTAGTTTGGGCTACCCAGTGAGTTCTAAGCGGGTCTAAATAGTGAGACTCTGCCTTAGAGACGAAACAACAAAGCAAGTGCTGCTTTCTCCAGGAAGCAAACACGCTGGTTTGTGTATTAAGGGCCAGCTGTTGCCTGGCCTCCCAGAGGAAGAAGTCATAGGCTTGTCAGTTTTTCATTCCTCGTGTCCATTGTTTCCCATTGGTTCTTCTTTCACTGGACTTACAGTTGCTTCAGAAGGAGAGAAGGGAGCTGGAGAAACACAGTTTGAGTGAGAAGTGTCCTCCCTAGGCTCAGGTATTTGAGTACTTGGTTCCCAGTTGTTGGTGGTGTTTGGAGGGGTTGTAGAATGTTCAACATACAGAGCCTTGCTGGAGGAAGCACATGACTTGGAGCAGGCTTTGAGAGTGTGTAGCCTTGCCTCGTTTCCAGCTACCCTCTCTACTTCCTGTAGACAGATGAGATATAATCTGTCAGTTACCTGCCCCAACTACCTGCTGTCTCCCCCCACCATTAGGTACATCTATCCCTCTGGACCCATAAGCCAAAATAAACTGTCCTCTTTAAGTTGCTTTTGGTATAGTGTTTAGTCACAGCAGCAGAAAAGGAGCCAATATAAGTGAGGACTCAGTTGATAATGTGCTTACCATGAAAGCATGGGGATCTGAGTACAAATTTCAAAATTCACATCAACAGCCTAGCATAATAGCACACACTTGTAACCTCAGCACTGGGCAGGCAGAGACAGGAGGATCTCTGGGGCCCACTGACCGGCAGCCTGGCCTAATCAGTGGTCTCTAGGTCCAAGTGGTAGACCCCAACTCACAAACAAGGTGGATGGCCCCTGAGGAGTGACATGAAGTTTATCTCTGGCCGCCTCATGCATGAACATATATCAACATGCCCTTAAACCTCCCTCTACAGAGACTGGATGTTCTTCACAGCAGGGAGCTGCATCTGCCTTCATCTGGATGGCCAGTTTCACACTGACTCCGCTCTCACAGCCAGTCTAATTTAAGTAATTCATCACGACAAGCACCCATTACCCATCATGAATTGTGTATAATTTCTGCTGTCTCTGAAGCAATCCTATGAGGTAGATATGATGTGATGATCCCCCATTTCTACATAGGACACTGTGTAGAGATTAAGTAATGTGTTCAAAAATACACACATTATATAATATATATGTTCACACACACATACATGTATAAGTAGAGGTTGTATGATTCTTAAGCAAAATTTAATAGTGTAGTGACCTGGACTGGCAGGTCAATCTTCAGTGACAGTGTCCTAGGTGGGAAGGCCAGAAGATGAGAAGATAAAGAAGACAGAAAACTGGGGTCCAGAGGTCTTTCTTGCACAGATTATATCTTATGCCAAGCAAGCTTATTAAGAAGTACAGCATCTTATATACCGTTTCCAGGCAAGAAATGGAACAAAGTCAGCAGAAGCTATCATATGATGAGACTAAGTCAGCAGGAGGCTAGTCAAGCAGTGTTGCATAAGGGACACAGGATATCTCAAGGGTGTCTGATAACTCCGGACTCTTTGTGGGAAAAACCAAATCCCAGGAAGTGAAATTGGAACTCCTTCAAGGCCTGGTGCAGCCCCAGACTGGCCTTGTCAAGTCTGCCATGGGGCAGGGACATAGGACCAGGTTCCTTTTGCCCTCTCATCAGGACCTCTAAGAAAGCCATGGACCAGCATGGCTCTCAACAGTGTTGAATCTGCACTTAAAAATGTGGTGTGTCTATGACCTGCTTAGGGGAGAACTGTATCAGTGGCTCTTACACTTGATATTGGCTATACAATTAAGTTTTTTTTTTCTTTGCAGTTTTTAAATGATTTGTTTTGAAAAAAAAATTCAGACTTAGAAATAAAAATTGCTGAAAATGCCTCACTCATCTCATGAAATACCCTGCCATGACTGGTACAATACTGTTGTCTAACCCCAATTTTATTCAGCTTTGACAGATTACCCTCCAAATGTGTTTTTCTCTGAGTGAGATCCAGTTCCTGCTGCATCTGTCCTCATTAACTTCTCATCTACAACTCTGTCCAGCATCCTTTTCTGCTTCACGAGCGCCTGAGTTTCACAGAACTGTGGTTATAAATGCATCCAAATTTGACAGTTTCTATCAATAGGAACTCATTCTCTCGCTGCTGTTCTGAGCATCAGAGTCACAGGACTCAGGCCTCATCGGGTGGGTTCACTGAGATGCTGTGGGAAAATCCGTTTCATATCTGTCTTACATTTCATGGCAGCTGCTCAGGACCTTTGGTTAGGTTCATAGCAGCAACCTCTGCTTCTGTCTTTACTTGTGGGTCTTCTTTATGAATCCTTGTGTCTTCAAATTTTCTCTTTCTTTTTCTATTTTGATGCAGGGTCTTATTATAAAGCCCAGGCTGGCTTTAAGTCCCCATCTTCTTTACTCAGCCTCCAGGCTGCTCAGATTACAAGCATGTGCCAGGATACCAGCTTCATTGGTGTTTTTTGTTTTTTCTTTTAGGTCTTTCATAAGCATGTGCTATTGGGTGTCAGCTTCACCCTAGTCCAACACAACCTCATCTTGAGATCCTTACTTCAGTAACAACCCGTCATTCTAAATAATGTCTCCATGTGATAGGGCCTACAATTCAACCCACCTCAGTGACCTCAACACTTTTGAGGGTCCATGCCAGGTATTTGTCAGAATGTCAATTCTGGATGTTCTCATGTTTTCCCGATAGTTTCTCATCTGGAATTCAAGTCATACATCTTTGGGAAAATGCCACAAGTGTGATCTTGTGCCCTGAATTAGGAGGCACACTCTATCAGCTGGTTCTAGTCCTGGTGGCGTTCACTCTGATTACCTGGTGAAGATAGTTGCGCTGCTTTGCTTGGCACTCCTCATTATTCAATGAGGTTCATGAGTACTTTGTGCCAGAGGTTTTGAGACCATGTAAATATCTTACTCATCATTGCTCTCTGTTCTCTCAGTTTTATTAATGCTTTTTATTGAAATACAATCCATGGACCATAAATCCCACTCCCTAATGTGTACATGTCAACGATATTAAAATTATATTCACAAAGTTGTATGGCTATGGTCACTATCTAAGTCTGGAACATTTTCATGACTCAAGGAAGTAACCCAAACCCATTAGATATTATTTCCATTACTCCCTCCCTCAGCTACCAGAAACCACTGATCTCTTTTCTCTGGGTATTCTTCTCTATTGCTCACTAATTTTAGCATCTATTGATAATTCTGCAACAGTTATTACAGCAGTGTTTGCTTAATTAGATAATTTTGAACCACACACTTTGGAAACCAGAAACCAGAGTGATGTAACCAATAAGATCAAATTGCATGTTATTATGGTATCATTTGCATGCCTGGGGCAGTCTCACTGATAACTGACATCTGTCACTTGTTTCAGACAAGGCATCCTCTTTGGATGATGAATTGGGTAGACCCCATAGTTACCTGTCACTCAATGTGTTGTTATTAAAAAAAAGTTAGCTCAGAGTAGCATCCAGATAAACAAACACTAAGGGTCTCGTGGCTGAGAATTGGGCTCAGGAGTGGTCTAGGTCAAGGTTGTAAAGAGCTACAGGGTGGTGCCATCATTGAGTTCAGGTCATGAAAGCATTAGTTTGAAGAGTAAAAGTGGTAAGGGAAACATGCCCCTTACATCCTTGCTTGCCTTCATTAGCTATTGGGCAGGAATGGGGCATATGGAGCCTCTAGTAGCCTAGAGGTCAGCCGAGTGTTTGAAGAGTAGCATCAGTAGATAAGAATGAATGGTGCAGGATGAGCACGGATACTTTTCGGCAGGATTATTTCAAGGGTTGGATCTTAGAATCTGAAGTTTATAAAACACAGCGTGGTTTTGAAGGTGGGGACTGTGGACTTTGATAGTAATTAATCTTACCTATTTGTGTATTATTTCATCCTAGCTATCTTGAGCTGCACCATGCCTCACAGGGCCCTCTCTCAGAGACGTGTTAAGGGGTCATTGCTGTTGTTTGTTTGCACTCTTTTAAACCTCACAGCTGCACAGTTGGAGATCCTTGGTTGGACTATTGCTTCTAAGACGCCAAATTACACAGAACTTGGGGAGGCTGAGCCTGCTGTCTTGGGAGCTGTGCCTGTTCAGTGTCAGCAACATCCACTTGAAAAATGCAGAGCTTCAAAACGCCCTGAAATGCCTGTGCCTGCTAATATCTGTGCCTGCTTACTCTATTCCCAGTGGAGCGCAGAGACAACCCAAGCCCATCTGACAGACAGGCAGCAGAGAGAGCCAGAGGGGCTCGGACAGATTAGTGTAATTTATGCAACAAAACCTTTTAATGTTCTAAGATAGAATCATAAATCTCTTTCAGTTATTCATATGCAAATGTTGAGGGACTCACATGCTCCCATAATGGATGACAGTTCATAATGATCCTGCCCTATTCAAGTTTAATGGAAAAGAGATAAACACACGTGTACTCACACTACACAGGTTTCCATGGGGTAATTATAATACACACGTAAAAGATGTTGGTGGAAGACATACATGCCCCTTAGAGTACAGGTGCCAAACACAGTCCACTGTAAAGGTAGAGTAATGAAATAATTACATACAGTCAAGAGCTCTCAATGATTTATGTACTCGGCCTCACTGA